GCTACGCGGAAGCGGCGCGGCCGCCGCCCCCCCCCCGCGGGGGAATCCCTTAATTTAAGCTGAGTTTAAAGCAACGAGCCCTTTCCGGGAGAGCCAGCGAGGCCCCAAGGCTGCGCCTTTCCCCCTCTCCCTGTTTTCCCCTGGCGTTTCTTTTTCTGCCTCAAATTCATCCCGGAGTCGGGACAAGCGCCCGGATTCCGGCTGGGATCCATCCAGGARATGGGGCCGGGGATGCAGAGGGCAGGAAAGGTCCCCATTAGCTCCAAGCCGGGCCGGGAAGGAGCTCCCGGACCTTCCACGCATGAGTCAACAGCCCCAGGGCTGCGACATTCCCAAGATCACAGGCCATAATACTAAGCCAGGTTTTATACGGAAAACACACGGGATTGGAGCTCTGGCTCAGTAAAAAAGGGGGAAAAAATAGGGATCTTCTCCCCATTTCCACTGGGTTTCATCAGTTAGTGGCCGTGGCCGGCTCTGAGCCGACCACAAGCAGCAAAATCCCTGCCTGCAGCTGGAAGCAGCAGCTAGAATTCACTTCTAGGAGCCAAAATTCCCTTCTGCGAGAAAAAACGTGAGGTTGGGCAGGCCCCGCTCCGGCACGCGCGGGGTCCCTGGTGCTGCAGAGGCCCACGCGCCGCCAGGAGCCGGAACAAGAGCCGGAGGTGTCCGCAGCCCGGAGCTGCTGCTGACACCTGCCGTCGGCGCCGCTCAGTTATCCCGTTCCGCAGATGTTTGCAAGGACGTCCTTGCATTTAAACCAAGTGGTCGCTTCGGTTGGTTGGCCGAGGCTGGGTTAGAGCRAGCGCTTTTGCTCCCAGTTGTCTCCGCGTGTTCCTCTCCCGAGGTTCGGAAAAATAACTCGGAAAGCCCGCTCGCGGTGCGCATCCATGGGAAGCGGGATTTCGGGTTTTTGCGTTGCCACTTTTGCAGCTTTGTCAAAAAGCAGCGAGTTGCAGGATTCCTATGGATTTAAACAGAAGAGCAACATCATCACATATGTATATATAGTGTATATATATATATGTAATCTCARAGCTTAATAGGAATGGCTGGTGAGCTAAGGAACAAGACCTAAAAAGGAAAAATTATTTTGTAATCACAGTAACAAAAAACTGTTTTCAGTTGATTTTCAGTTCCCCCAGCGTTCCCAACAAATCCCTTTTGCCCCAAGTCTCCAGCAAACCCGCTGCATGGAGAAAACCACTGTTACATRGTGCGATGTCACACCAAAAACTGCAATATAGCCAATAAATCCTGGTCTGGAGCTCGTTTTTGGTGTTGTGCAAGACCCTTCCTCACCACATTAACCTTTACGGGCCCCRAGCTCTCAGCTCTAGGGAAGGTCGAGTCCATCCTTCCCTCAACCGCCTGATCTTTGTATTCGACCCCTTTCAAAACCAGCTTCTCTTATGAACATTAGGATTTTATTTTAAAATATTCCTGCTAAGCACATGTCCTTACTGGAAACAAAAGCTTTTTTGATACAGAGTTTTGCTATTTTACCCTATTTTTCCAGTGGAGTAGACACATACCACAACGACAACGATTTCCTTTTGGGCAGGCCACTCACATTGAGGTTCCCCTGACAAAATAAAGCACCTTATATTCCTCCTTTGCAATATTTTACTAGCCCTGTGTCTCAGCTCCCTAAACATATATATATATATATATAAAGGACAAAGGACAGACTTTACTCTTTTGCATTGTACTCAGTCCAAAGAAACCCACAGTTTTACAAGATGTTGTCACAAACTTACTTACATCTACTCCTCAAAAAAAAGCCTACAGGAATTATTTTCTCCACAAAGTTTTTACTACAGATACAGGAAAATTCTGACTTGTTATTTGTCTTTCAAAGTACTTTAATTGTTTTTCCCCCCACAACATCCCTTCTTTTCTTCGGCTGCAGGCTTGGGGGAAGCAGCAGGCTCTCAGCTTGGGGCAGGGCTGAGCTAAGCCCCTTCACCGCGGTGGGTGCAACGAGTCACCCTGTTTCAGCGACCCCTTCGCACCAGTAYGAACCAGCACAGCACCAGCAGGAACCAGCGCAGCAGAGGCAGAACCCAGGCCAGCAACTCATTGCTCCCCATCCACAGACCTCCCCATGCAGAAAACACCAAAGAAACTGCGTGGCAGCCATTCAGAACAAGYTCTGTTTCGTTTTAGCTCCTCTTTTGAGCTCAGTATCTTGTCCTTCATTAAACACTTATTTTCTAGCATGACTGTTTTTGTGTTTCCCTCCAGTTTAAAGCTCTGGTCCCGTGAACATTATTTACATCATCAACAGTATTTTTGCTCAATAAAGACACAACATAGATGTATTTTTCAAGACGCTTCTGTAATAGAAAAGTGACATTTTACTTTATAAAGCGGAGTACAAACAAGGGCAATGTCTCAGACAAGCAAAAAGCAAACAAAAGACGCAAACGGCACAACACACAGCACTCACTGATGAAGTCAGAGAAACTAAGATCAAGTTTAAAAGTGCTTTAGACTGAAAGCTACGCTTCCGGAAGGATATATTAACTTTAATCATAGTTTTCTCGCAGCCTCTCAAATTTCGATTTGAAGACTATCTCGTTAAAAAAAAAAGCCCAGTTTTAGTTCAACGCAACAGCTGAACGTAAGCGTAAAAAAATAGACAACTTTAGAGAGCGCAKCTCAAAGAGCCCAGCTCAAGGAGGCGGGACGCGCGGCTCGTGGTTAAAGCGGGGCCGGGCTCATCTTCCCTCCTCTTCGGCGGAGGCGCCGTCTCCCGGGGCAGCCGGCGGCGGGGCCCGAGCTCTGCACGAGACGGAGGCGGCGGGACGGGGGCGGCGGGAGCGCGGCGGGGCCGGGCGCGCTCGGGACACGCACCCGGCCGCGGGCCGCTCCGCAGGAACTCGGCGATGCCGCGCTGCCAGGCGGGCGTGGGCCGCGCGCACGCCGCGTGCCCGCCCGCGGGGCCGTTAGCGCCGCCTCGCCTCGCGGCGCCGCCGCCCCGCGCCTCACCTCTCCTGCCCGTTACCGGCGACGGCCCCGCGCGGGCACAGCCGGAGCCCAGCACCTTGCGGGGAGCCCGCGCGGCCACCACTGCAAGCGGAGCGGAGCGGTGAGCGGGCGGTGGCGGCGGGACGCGCGCGGCCGGCCCCGCTCCGCCCCGCACCTTTGCGGTAGCTCCCGCCGCCGCCGTCCGCCTTGGTGCGCACCATGGTGAGGGGAGCGGAGCCGCCGCCGCCACGCGGGAAACGGCCACCGCGCGCGGGAAACGCCCGCCGCGGCGCGCCGCCATTGGCCGCCCGCGGGACCCGTCCCGCCAATGGGAGCGCGCGGCGCCGCCGCCCCTCCCCTCAGCGCCCCTCCCCTCCGGAGCGCCGAGGATGTTCGGCTTCGTTCGGCTTCACTCGGCTCAGTTCGGCTCTGCTCGGCCCAGCGCGGCCGTGGCCTCCTCATGGTTCCTCCTTTATTATTTATTTAATAAACAAGTGTAAAAAAAAAAACCCTAATTCTCTTACTAAGGCGGCCGCGTTTSCGAGGGGCGCGAGGTGCCGCCGTGACGCGCCGCTGCGCCGCCCTTCCCCTTCCTTCCCCCGCGCGCAACATGGCGGCGCCCAGCCCGCTGCTGGGCTGGTGCGTCCAGCACCTGCGCGGAGACTTCGGGCTGGACGTGGGCGAGGAGGTCGTGCGGTGAGCGGGGCCGGCGCGGGAGGCGGCCGGGCGGGAGCCGCCGGGCGGGCCCCGGGGCGCAGCGGGGCCCCCTTCCCCTCCTCGGGGCTGTGTTGGCCGCGGTGGCGCCGCTCGGGTGCGTTGGGGTGCCGTTTGGGCGGCTTCGGGAGCCCCTCGGGTGAGTTCGGGCGCCGCTCGGGCGGGTTCGGGCGCCGCTCGGGTGAGTTCGGGCGCCGCTCGGGTGAGTTCGGGCGCCGCTCGGGCCGGTTCGGGAGCCCCTCGGGTGGGTTCGGGCGCCGTTCGGGCCGCTCCGGGAGCCCCTCGGGTGAGTTCGGGCGCCGCTCGGGCGGGTTCGGGAGTCCCTCGGGTGGGTTCGGCTGCCCCTCCCGCACGTTCGGACGCCCCTCGCTGCTCTTCGTTTAGGCTCGGATCTCTTCGGGCGCCGCTCGGTTGCATTCGGGCGCCGCTCGGGTCTCTTCGGCCCCTCCTCGGTACCCTTCGGGCCCCCGAGGTCTTCTTGCCCATCTCAGACCTCGTGYCACCCCTGCTGACGGTGCCCAGTCCAAAGCCAACGGGGAGCACGGGGTTGGGAGCAGGGTTGGGAGCACGGCTGGCCCACCCTGGGCTCCTGGTGTCCACCCACCAATGCATCTCCCCTAAACTCCCTCGCCGCCCTCCTGCAGGTACATCTTGTCCATAAGGAGCGAGGAGGAGATCCGGGAATACGTGGCTGACCTCCTGCAGGGCTCCGAGGGCAAGAAGGGCCGCTTTGTGGAGGAGCTGCTGGCCCGGTGGCGCCGGGCCCTTCAGCAGCCCCCCGAGCCTGGCCCGGCGTGTCGCCGAAAGGACGGTGAGCGGCGCCGAGGCGAGGGCTTCGCGCTCCCAACGCGCCCGTCTCCGTCGCCCCCTTTCTAGACGGCCTTTGGGCCCCCAACGCCTCTGTGCAGTCCCGTGCCCATATGCTCTGAGAGTGTAAAGCCAGTGTTGGGTCACTGGCTAGGACACCTCTCTCCTGCTGGCAGTGGCCAAACGTTTCCTGTGCCCGTGTGCCCTTGCAGAGCCTTCAGAAGTGCCTCGGGCTGGAGACCCGTCAAAGAAGAGCAAGCGCAAAGGACGGAACAAGCAGGAAGCGCCTGTGTATGTGGAGCCGAATGTCCCCGTGGAGGAGGTGAAAACCCCGCTTGACCTGGCCAAGGTGAGCGCAGCCGGCACGTAACGGCAGGGAAGATGGTCATGAGACTGGAGCATCTGTTGTATGAGGAAAGACTGAGCGAGTTGGGCTTGTTTAGCCTGGAGAAGAGAAGACTGAGAGGGCCAAACCCTGCTCGGCGGTGGCCAGTGACGGGACAAGGGGAAATGGGTACAAGTTGAAACCCAGGCAGTTCCGTCTCCATATGAGGAAGAAATTCTTTATTGTGGGTGCCAGAGCCCTGGCACAGGCTGYCCAGGGAGRCTGTGGAGTCTCCTTCTCTGGAGATCTTCCCAACCCGCCTGGATGYGACAGGGTGCCCCGTGCTCTGGGTGTCCCTGCTGGAGCAGGGGGTTGGACTGGATGATTTCTAGGGGTCCCTTCCAACCTCAACCACTCTGTGATTCTGTGAGAGACTTTGTGGGCTGGTGGGTCTTCAGGACAGGTGATAAACCTGGGCTGGAGGGAGAGCTGATACCAACTGCAAAAGTAGTGCCTGAGAACAGAATCAAGTTTTCAGAGATACGAATTTTTATTATTGGGGCCCTGATGGAAGCGATCATGTGTCTGAAAGCACGTTTGAGCTTTCCAGCCACACCACTACATCTAAGAAACACCCTTCCCATCAAACGGTGTCCTACGCCTGCTCTCCAGCACTGCTCCTGTGAGATACGTGTGCCTTGCTGGCAGCAGACCTCTCTTTGCCATTAGACAGTGTTTAGCAGCCCCCATGACCTGGGCCACCACTTGAGCAGCTGCCGGGATGGATGAGGGCTCCACGGTGTCAACAGACCGCTGGCACGTTGTGCAGTAGCCCAGCTGCAGTGAGAGAGGTGGCTGTAGAGCAACCTGAAGAGCTGTAGCTGGTCCGCCTGTGCTGGGCTTCAGCTTTGGTTGAGCACCCTGCTTTGACCGTTTCTCTCCCCTGTCCTGCTCCACTTCCAAATGGATTTGGAGGAGATTCTGTTGAGGTTTTTGACGTTGTTCAATCCTGTAAACAAAATTTTTGAAGTGCTTCTAAATAGCTTGAGCTCCAACGAAGGAAACTGCCAAGTAGGAGAACAGAGACGCTGCAAAAGAGCAAATCCAGCTGTTTCCTAGCCCTGCAGCAAACATTAATTGCCTTTACTTATGCTTTTCGTTCGTAGTTGAATAGTGCCTCTTCTCTAGCAGTCTTGCTTTCAGTTCAGCGGAACTGAACGTATCAAGCACATCAGGCATGAGGAAATTTGCTGTTAAACATAATAACCTAGACTAAATTGCTGGATTTTGCTTCTCCTGTGTCGGGTTTTGACCCTGCTGGTTACAGGCAGCTTGCCAAAACCCGAGCTCCTTGCTTGCCTGCGGAGCCAGCTGCAGGACAGCGGCCCTGGTTTGTAGCAAGCACAGCAGATAATCGCTATCTGGGGTGTAGGAGCTCTGCAAAGTAGGTGTGTGACCGTGCTCTGTGCCTGATACAGGTTACACTTGGCAGCAGAGACCTTCATGCTATCATCATCCAACCGTGCTGCACATCTGAGATCAAGGTCTGCTCTTCATCCAGGTGCAACTTGGACATGGAGTCGCTGAGTCACAGCTAAATTGAAAAGTCGGGTTTGCACCTGATCAAACGGTGGAAATTATGGGTTTAATTTGAGGATTTTGTGACTAATAAAATCACTAGAGCCAGGTTGAACAGAGCTGGGGGAACTGGGAAGGCTGTGCCTGCTTGTTGCTAAACCAGCAGCCTGGTGTTGTTGATAGCACAGTGTGGGCCAAGCTGCCGAAAACAGCAGGCAAGGCAGGAGGTGTCCCGAGGCTGCTGTGCAGCCTCACTGCCAGGAAAAGCAACGTGGGATGACGTGGGAGCTACAGGTGGTGCTAGCTGGGCTGCGGGTCAGGATGCTGGAGGGATCCTTTTGCAATGAGAGGAAGTGAGTTGTTTTCTGTGGTGAGTCAAGGCGGGTTTCCTGGGAAAGAGGTTCTTGGAAAACCTCTTCTGTCTTCTCTGAGAGAGTCTCCGCAGAGGAGACGCAATGAGAAGCCGTCCTTGAGCTGCAAGAGGGTTTTTCAAGTGTGTCACAGGTCTGACAAGGAAAAGGTGGAGAGCACATTTGTTTTGGAGTGATGCTTGCTGCAGAGCAAAGGATAAGAAGTCATTGCTTTTCTTGGGATTGTCTGAAAACAGTCTCATCTAGTGTTAGGAGATGGCGTTGTTCCTGACGCCATCCTGACGTGTGTAGTGCTTATTTTCATGTCTCAGCTGATCCCTGCTGGAGGTGTCGGGATGAGAGGGAGCCCTTTATTTCTTTAACCAAAGTGCAAGGTCTCTGCAGCAAACAGTGAATCCAGCCATCACCCAGATGTCTTCACAGAATCACAGGATGGTTAAGGTTGGAAGGGACCTCTAGAGATCATCTAGTCCAACCTTCCTGCTCAGGCAGGGACACCCAGAGCACGGGGCACAGGGTGGCATCCAGGCAGGTTTTGAAGACGTCCAGGGAAGGTCTTGCTTCACTCTTCATCAGGGTTTCTCCCCCTCCGCTCAGGCTGCACCAAAGATACGCGGTCCTCTACTGGGAGTTAGTCTGGGAGCAGCTGGGCTGCTGTTTGATGCTGTTAAATATCAGCTGATAAACAGCTCCTGAGGACAGACAGCACTGCTACTACCTAAACCCAAACAGTTCCATCTTAGAGGCAGCCACAGACCAAGTGGATCCGCGACGTCCTCTGGGCCTCGTTTTGTTTACCTTGCTTAGCTCTTTCCTGGCAGTCCTGAGCCTCTCTTGCAGTGGTCTTGATTGGGATCTGCTCCAGGTTTCACAGCAGTGAGGCAGAAGGGTGAATGCCCGAGTCTCTCCCGTGCGTCCAGGCCCGGTGCTTTCTCTTTGCTGCTGGCTTGTTGTGCAAATACAGCTGTTTTTCTTTGCTTTTTAGGCCCAGGAGACCGGCAGTGCAGTCAGCAGCAGCAGTAACTCCTCTAAGAAGAAGGCCAAATACGTCAACCTGTACACGAAGGAGGGCCAGGACAAGCTGGCCGTGCTGATCCCCGGGCGTCACGCGTGCGAGTGCCTGGGCCAGAAGCACAAGCTCATCAACAACTGCTTGGTGTGCGGGCGCATCGTCTGCGAGCAGGAGGGCTCCGGACCCTGCCTCTTCTGTGGAGCTCTGGTTAGTGAGGAGCTGCTCTGAAACAGCCCGGGCCTCCGTTAGCCTCTCTGCTTCTCCTCTCGTATCAAAGCTGCTGGGTGAACTGCTCCAAGCCCTAAAGCTGTGCAGGAAGGAGCCCGTGCCACCTCTGTCCGGGGGAAGGAGACCTGAGGAGGCTTTGAGCTGCTTTGTGCTTCTCTTTGATGGGCTGCAGCAGAGAGAGGAGAG